TAATTTTGCTAACAATTTGAATGTAGGCCCCTCTTGATCTTGAGGCCCTAGGATGAAGCCTAGTTAGCCTATAGGAAAATCCACCCCTGCTAGAATCCATGGTGGGCATTTGTGCCAACCAGAGGACTGAGCCCCTTGAGGGCCCCGAATCGACCGATGGATCGTCTTTTGTTAAGGATAGAAAAAGATACACCGGTTTGGCTGTGGCTTCCAAGGATGGGTCTTTCCTTCTGAGACAACTCCCATTCCATTGATCCACTCAAGTGGTGGAACTGCTGGCCCTGATTGAAGCATGTCACCTGTCGGGAAGACTGCCTACCAACATTTATACTGACAGTCACTATGTCTTCTTAGGTACACACACCCATGCAGCTGTGTGGAAGGCTTGTGGATTTACTGGGGCTGATGGAAAATGTTTAAAAATGAAGGCTTTACTATAAGAGATCGTAAAGGGCATTAGGGAACCATCTGAATTAGCTATTTTCCACTGCCGAGAGCACCAGACCAACTGCAGTGAGATTTCTCATGGGAACCATGCTGCTGACTATTGGGCCCGACAAGCCGCTGTATTGGGCTCTGCCATCCATTCAGAAAAAAACAACTTCCTAGCTCTTCTCCCCTATGACCCCATCTGGCACCTCCCTGAATTATACGACGATAGGGACAAATTAGATCCCGAAGGCAAATGGTGAGATAGATGGTGGATTGCCCAGAACTATCCCAGCAGATGGTGTGGAAACTTGTTCAAAGGGCTCACCAAATGTTTCATAGTAGTCCCCGTCCACTCCAGACATGGCTAATATCCCAATATTGCAATCCCAACTTGCAGAGCCTCTGCAAGACTGTTGTTTCCCAATGTGACCTCTGCCAGAGGAATAACCCCCGAGGAGGTAGTTCGGTTCCTCTTGGCCATCTCCGAACTGCCCAATATCTAGGGGAAGATTAGCAAGTAGACTTCACCAAACTCCCCAAGAGGGGAGCAAAATCCAACCTACTTGTGTTTGTAGATTTATTCACTGGGTGGCCAGAAGCAATCACAAGCCAAAAAGCGAAATAGGTGGTGAATGCCTTAGTTGAACAAATCATTCTGAGATTCAGGGTCCCCAAAGGTTTCGAGTCTGACTATGGAAGGCATTTTACCTCACAGGCTGCTCAGGATGTTAGTAAATTCCTGGGCATCCCTTGGCATCTCCACTCTAGTTACAGGACCCAGGCCTCAGCAAAAGTGGAACACATGAACCAAACTTTAAAAATACAGCTATCCAAAATTTGTCGGGAAACCCAACTCCCATGGCCGAAAATGTTATCAATAACCTTAGCCAGAATTAGGGCCCTGCCTTCAAGGAAATTGGGACTGTCACCCTTTGAAATAATATATGAGAGGCCCTTTGTTGCAACTACCCTCCAGGACTCCTGCAAAGGGGAAAGAAATATTTCCCAATATTTGCATAATCTGGTGCAGGTTTTGTCTTCCATCTCTAAACAGGTCCAGTCTGCTCTACCTGGCTGCTGATGCGCCATCACTGGCTGAACCAGGTCAGTGGGTAAGAATTAAAGAACTGTTTCCCTGTTCGCACTGAACCCAGGTGGTCCATACCTCGCCAGGGACTCCTAAGCACTCCAATGACCGTAAAGGTGGAAGGCTTCAAAGCGTGGGTTCACGGATCAAGAGTCAAGCATGTTGGCGAGTCTTCTGAATGGTGACAAACCCAGCATCTAGATAGACTCAAGCTGAAACTTCACCACACTCCAGCTTCCCCCGCTGACCTGTTCTCCTACATGGCCTAGACACACGTTGAATAGGCTTGGTTTGCTGTATTTGTTGTGTTTGCTCTTTTCTTGATTTGCTGTGGTGGTTTCCCCGCAAGTTCCTGGGACAAGGAAGAGATGCAGCCCACCTTTACTTTGGCTCAACAACTTGTCTTAATGCTTTTCATCCTAGGGATTTCTACACCCAAAGCTGTAGTCTCCCAGTCTCAGTGTGAGCAATGTTTGGTCACTACCCACCACGGAAACAAGGTCACAAAGACCTTCGTCTACCATTCCCACTACAATTGTAAGGAGCAAACCACGTCCTGTGTCCACAACACCATCACTTATGAGA